GCTCCCTAGTCATCTTTGCTTGTTTATCATCTCTATCAGAGGTGTCAAACACTCAGCTTTCCATGGAATTGCAAGCTGTAACACTCCACATCCTGAACCAGATAAAAATGTAATTGGGAAATATTTAACAAAATAAAATTGCAATAGAACATAGATAATGTTAGTATGTGGTTTTCTAAGTCAATATGTGCCTGCAGGGATCCTTATTTATAGTTAGTGGCCCCTTTTCTATTTGAATTTGACACCATTGATCTGTTCACATCCCTAAATGTGGTATATCCCAAGACTGTTCAGGTACCCTCTTCTCTTTCTCTACATTTTCCTTAATAACTTTATCAATTCAATAGTTTTCAATCAATAGTTTTGATTATCAATAGTTTTCAATTCAATCAATAGTTTTGATTATCATTTCTATTTAGATAAATCACAGACCTATGCTTGCAGCTTTATTCTCTCTCCTGAGCTCCAGTCTTAAGTCACCAACATCTTATTGGACATTTCAAACTAGATGACCCTCAGACATCTCAAACTCAAATTACCCAAGCAGAATATATTATTCCCTTTCCCCTAAAGCCCTCCTCTCTACTAAACTTCTTCATTTCTGTCAAGTACAGCAGTGCTTTTCCATTCTTCCAGGTTCCTAACTTTGATATTCTTGAATCCTTACTTTGATATTACTTGAATCCTTGAATTATTCCACATATTTAGGCAGATGCCAAACCTTGTCATTTCTATCTCCTCAGTATCTCTCATAGCTACAATATCTCTCACAGCCACCACCTTAATAGAGGCCCTCATCACTTCTCACGTAGACTATTGCAGTGATCTCCAAATTGATCTCCTTGCCATAAATCCTTCCAATCAAACTCTATTCCATCCTCCTTACAGCTGCCAAAGTAAATGTCCTTAAACAAATCTGACTGTGTCAGTCTTCTACTCATTAAATTCCAGTAGATCCCAATTGCCTCTAGGAGAAAAATATAAACTCTGTTTGGCTTTTAAAATCCTTCCTAACCTGACAATAACCAATCTTTCCAGTCTTCTTATATATCACTTCCCTCTCCCCAATCTATATTATAGCAAAATATCCTTTTCTCTGTTGCTCACATGATACACTATATCTTTTTTCCTTGCCTTTTTACTGACAATCTCCCCTCCCTGGAATGCACTTCCTCTTCAGCTCCAGTCAGGCAATATGTACTTATTGAATTCTGCTCTGTGCCAGTCTCAGTGTTAAATGTTGTGGATACAAAGAAAGGCAAAAAAAAACAGTCTTTGTTCTCAAGGAGCTCACAATCTAATGAGAAAAACAACATGAAAATAAACATGTATAAACAATATATATAAAGGGTAAATTGAAGATAATCAACTAAGGAAGGCACTAGCATTAAGGGGAATCAGGAAAGGCTACTTGTAGAAGACAGGGTTTTAGCTGGGACTTGAAGCCAGAAAAACCAGGAGATGGAGATGAGGGAGAGATTTCAGGCATGGGAGACAGCAACTGAAAATGTAAAGAGTTGGGAGATGGAGTGTCCTATTCAAGGAACAGCAAAAAGGCCAGTGTCACTAGATGACAGTATATGGTGCGGAGTAAGGTGTAAGAAGACTGGAAAGGTAGAAGGAGCACAGGTTATGAAGAGCTTTGAATGCCAAGCAGAAGATTTTATATTTGATCCCAAAGATAATAGGGATCCACTGGAGTTTGTTGAAATGGGCATGGGGAAAGGGTGACATGGTCAGACCTGTGCTTTGGGAAGATTAATAACTGAGTGGATGATGAATTGGAGTGGGGAGAGACGAGGTAGGGAGTCTAACCTTTGCATCCAACCATTGCAGTAGTCTAGGCTTAAGGTGATGAAGGCCTTTAGTGGGGAGGTGATAGTATTATAGGAGATAAGGTGACATATAAGACATTGTTATCAAGGTAGAATCACCAGGACTTGGTAACTGATTGAATATGAGGAGATGAGTGAGAGTCCAGAGTCAAGGACAACACTCAGATTACAAGTCTAGGTGATAGGAAGGGTGGGAGTGCCCTTGATAGTAATAGGGAAGTTGGAAAAGGAAGATAATGAGTTTGAGGTTTTAAGATATCTGTGGAATATCCAGTTTAAGATGTGTTGAAAAGGCAGTTGGAGCTTCAGATGAGAAACTGGAAGTTAGGAGAGAGGTCTGGATAAATAGATTTGAGAATCATCAGCATAGAGATGATAATTGAATCCATGTATACTTATTAAAGTCACCAAGTAAAATAGTATATATATATAGAGAAAAGACAACCTAGAACTCTGGAGAACCCCCACAGTTAGTGGGTATGACCTGGACAAAGATCGAGTAAAGGGAACTGAGAAGTGGGAAGAGAATAAGCATTTATATAGCATATATATGTGTCAGGCACTGTGTTAAGCACTTCACAAATATTATCTCATTTAAGCCTTACAATAATTCTTCACGGTAGTTGCTGTTATTATCTCCACTTTATAGTTGAAGAAACAGTTTAAGTGACTTGTTCAGGGTCACACAGCTAGTAAATGGATTTGAACTCAAGTCTTCTAGACTTAAGGCCCAGGGCTCTATCCACTGTACCTCCTGGCTGTCCAAGAAGGAGCAGACAGGTAGGAAGAGAACCAGGATAGAGAAATGTCACAAAAACCTAGAAAGAAGAGGGTGATTGACAATGTCGAAGGCTGCAGAGAGGTCATAAGCATCAGGATCGAGAAAAGGCCATTAGATTTTGAAATTAGGAGATCACTGGTAACTGGAAAGAACAGTTACAATTGGAGAGGTCTGAAGTCAAATTGTAGAGAGTTAAGAAGATAGTGAGAAGAAAGGAAGTAGAATCATCTTCTGTAGATGGCCTTCTCAAGGAGTCTGGCCACCAAAGGGGGAAGGGATGTGAGACAAGAGATTGTGGAATGGACAGATCAGTTGAGATACTTTTGAGGATATGGGAGACATGGGTGTGTTTGTAGGCAGTAAGGAGGTAGCCAGTAGGAAGGGAGAATTGAAGATAAATGACAGAATGGGGATGATAGAGGGGGGAATCTTCTGGAGGAGACCGGCTGGAATGGCATCACTTGGACAGGTAGAGAGGTTTGTCCTGACAAGAAGGGCCACTACTTCTTCATGTTTCATAAGAGTGAAGGAAGAGAGAGTATCAGAAGGCGTCTGGGTGATGTGAGGTGAGGAGAGAGAAGAGGGAGCTCTCAAGAACAGCCTCAGTTTTATATGAGAATTCACTTCATAGACCCCCAAAATTCCTTCTAGACACATCTCAAACATCAAGTTTTCTCATCTCTATAACTACTGGCACCCTCTTTTCCAAGGTATTTTGTATTAAATTACTTTGTATTTATTCTGTATATCATTACGTATGTAAAGTTTCATCACAATTGCTAGAATGTAAACTCCTTGAGAGCAGGGTTGTTTCATTGTTTTTGTATCCCTAATGCTGTAAGATTGTGCCTGGTTTGTTGATTGAAGAGTTCACTATTTTAAGTCTCCTTGTGTTTAGGATTAGTTAGGATTAGAACTCCTTGCTTATAAATTTAGGACTATCTGCTACCACATGTGCCTCTGCCCCAAGACAGCCATTAATAGTTGTGGCTTCCCTTTCTACATTCTTGGCTCATTCTTAGCTCTGCCACTCTCAGGATTAATCAATTAATCAATCAGCAACCATTTATTATGAATGAAAAATAATTTGTTAAGTGTGTATCAAGTATTGTGCTAAGCACTGGGGATACAAGTACAAAAAACTAAGACAGTCCTTGCACTCAAGTCAGCCTCAACAGCACTTAAAGCATTTGTTAAGTGCTCCCCGTGTGCTAAACTCTGGAAATACAAAGAAAGGCAAAAACACATTCCTGTCCTCTCGGAGCTCACATTCTAGCGGGGAAAACATCTGTATGAACAACTATATCCGTATAAGATATGTCAATTGGAATTGAGAGGCAATCTCAGAGGGAAGACGCTAGCAGTAGGGATCTGGTAAAAGGCCTGTTGAAGAAGGTGATATTCGAGCTGAACTTGGAAGGAATCCAGAGACACTAGGAGGTTGGAAGTGAAGAGGGAGAGCATTCCAGGCATGGGTAACAACAGCCCTGAAAAGAAATGTTTATCTGCAAATAAGAACAGAAGGCCTCGAGTACAGGGAGGAGAGTAAAATGTAAGAAGACTGGAAAGATAGAAAGCGGCAGGGTTGTAAAGGGCTTTAAAAGCCAAACAAAGGATAAAAGTTTGACATCCTAAAACTACAGAGATTTGACACAGAAATTTTTTTTTCTTTTTAAATAGGAAAGGGATAGAAGTTCAGGAAAATGCCTGTTTCATTGACTTCTCACTTGGCCTCAGCCCAGTTAATGAAATTCCAGAACATGAAAGAGACTATGAACTGCTAAGATCTTAATGAAGTATATAGTATTTATACTTTATTAACCCTTTACAAGGTATGAAGAAGTTTTGTGATCATATTTGATGGAATTAGCAACTAGCCATTGGTTAGCCAAAAGATCAGCCCTACCCTTGGTAACTCTTTATTAACTAGCTCTAGAAAATTAATAGGTTCCCAAAGCAGGTGATAAAGCACCCCCTGGAAGGATGCTGGAACAATCCAGGGGGGCAGTAGTAGTGTTGGGTGCAGTTGTGGGGCATTGAATAAAAGTAAAAGGGCGGTGGAAGCATAAGGAAGAAAGATAAGAACATTTTGAAAAGCTGTAAGTTTTATCTGTTGTGTAACAAAGTTAAAGTCATAGTGATTACATTATTTTCCAAATAAACACACAAAATACAAATTATAACAGAGCAACCAACAGGTCTTAATAAACAAATGTTGGCAGGCAAGTGTGTTGTGCATTGTCGGAAAGTCCAGCATGCAATGGCAGGAATATGTGTGTAATGACTTGTTTACAATACTATAGTAATATGATGCAATATTGCAACATCCAAACTTCAATGCAAGAAAAAAATCCACAAATTTACAATAAATGATTAAATTTGAGATGTATCAAGTGAAGCCACAGTCTTCCACCGTCATTCTTCGAAGCTGGTGGTCTTCTTCAGCTCGTTTAGTCCTGGCCAACTGCTCACCTATGAGTGCTGGGCCAAGGGATCCCAGCAGCCTGGACATCAGAGAAGCCCATTTGGAAGCACCCCTCTGCCCTTCAGTGAATGTTCCTAAAACCAGCAGAACTGTCTGCAAAAAATTCGGCAAGCACCAGCCTCACAAAGTGATCCAGTACAAGGAAGGCAAGGATTCCCTGTACGTGCAAGGAAAAAGGCAATATGATCAGAAACAGAGTGGCTATGGTGGTCAAACAAAACCAATTTTCTGGCAAAAGGCAAAGACCACAAAAAAGATTGTACTGAGGCTTGAATGTGTGGAACCCAACTGCAGGTCTAAGAAGATGCTTGCCATTAAAAGGTGTAAGCATTTTGAACTGGGAGGAGATAAGAGAAAGGACCAAGTGATCCAGTTCTGAGTTTCATTGTTTTCATCTTTTTTTTTTTTTTTGGCAATTGGGATTAAGTGACTTGCCCAGGGTCACACAAGCTAGTAAGTGTCAAGTGTTGGTCTGAGGCTGGATTTGAACTCAGGTCCTCCTGACTTCAGGGACAGTGCTCTACCCACTGTGTCACCTAGCTGCCCCTGTTTTCATCTTAATAGGAAAAAACCATTCCATTCCATTCCTTGGTTTTGTGTTTTCTGTCTTGGAAAGGAAGAGGCTTGAGTAAAATCAAGTCTTATACTATGTGAAGCTTTTCGCCACATAGAAAAAGTTCTTGTGGATGTGGCTGATCACATCCTCAGTATATTGTTTCATTCTTGTCCTTAAAAGTAACACTCCTAATCCAGCATTGTCCTATTCCACTTCTAGATTAAATTTAGGGGGTTATTGAGCTGTATTTTGGTTGTATCGCACCAAAGGTGCTTAATAAATGTTGTTTTCCTTAAAAAAATTGAGATGCATCATTTTAAAAAAAATATTTTATATTTTTTGAAATGATGCAAATTTCAAAAAAAAAACATTAAAGGGTTAAAGAAAGTAGACTTCCAGGAGTCTGAGTAATTTTTCTTAAAAGGGGGCAGTAGGCCAAATAAGTTTGGAAACCTCTGCTCCAGATGAAGTTGATTGGCCAACAGTAGGTCCCAGCCCAAGCCTATGAGATCAGTGTTTGGGCCCTGATTGTTCAGAGTGAAGGTAGATGACAATTGTTTTCTGTTTTGGCCAGAAACCCTGCAGGTCTTCCCCTTCCCAGATTAGTTGTTTTTTTGTTTTTTTTTTTGACTAGGTAAAAGGGCCATTCTTTGCCTCATTTCTTACCTAGCCCTAATAATTGAATAGACGTTGCCTCAGTCAGATACCTGGGAAAGACCTTAGCTTGAAAAAGCCATGGTCTCCCACTTCATCCAGGGCCATCTCTAGTCATCCTGATCTATATCTTGCCACTGGACCAGATGGCTCGAGAGGAGAAAGTGAGGCTGGTGACATTGCACAGCTGTCTCTCACTTAAATCCAATTCACTTGCAAGTCATGGCATCACCTTGCTGATGTCATGGTCCTCTTCTAGGATAAAGGACAAACAACAAGATAGAGATTAAGGCAGGAGATAGCTCTGATGAGTATGAGCACTGTGAGTTGAGAGCTAACCATGAAAGAAGGACCCAACCCTTGAGAGGGAACCTCACCTAAAGCAGGAGGGGTTTGCTCTCTTGTTCTCCTGCTAATTCATTGATCATGGCATCTTGTAATGGAAATACTTGCTTAGTAGAAAACACTATTCCCAATCAAGGCACAAAACTGACAGAGCTTTTTGAGCTGGAACTGTAAAATTTGAGCTATGGAGACACAGGCCTAGGAAATCCAGCTGAGTAACCTGCTCAGCAGAAATATTGCTTATAGTGGAAAAGGACATTGGGGCCCTACAGTGCTGAAGGTATGAATTTCTTGAACCATGTGTGTTCTCTATGAGTGGAAACTATACATATATGCATATACACATACATACATATTCTTCCCACTAGTACTTTATAGAGTTGTAGGAGAGTGCACTTTTTGGCAGAGTAGACGAATGTTTTGTAGCTACTTTTCTTATGATGCCATTTCAGTAGATGGCTTGGGGGGCAGATAGATGGCACAGGCCATATAGTGCTGGGCTCAGCTGGAGTCAGAAAGATCTGAGTTCAAATCTTGCCTCAGACCTTTACTTAGCTGGGTGACCCTGGGAAAGTTACTTAACCTCTTTGCCTTAATTTCCTCAAATGTAAAATAGATAATAATAGCACTTAACTCTAAGGGTTGTTGTATCAAATGAGATAATATTTACAAAGCACTTAGCGCAATCCCTGGCATCTACTAGGCCCCTATATAAATGCTTATTCCTTTCCACCCTTCTTACCTTTGCTCTGAGTTAATTGTATCCTCTGGATGACTATTATAAAGGCAATATGCCAATGGAACCTCCTGAACTATATATATTTTAGGAGTGTTAGACCCAAAGAGTACCTTGAACCCAATAATCCCCTAAATTTAATCTAGAAGTGGAATAAGACAATGCTGGATTAGGGGTGTTACTTTTAAGGACAAGAATGAAAGAATATGCTGAAATGTGATGTGGTAAAAAAGCAAGAGAAATTGGCTTGCATCTAAAAATTATCTGTTCTGAAACAGTAAGAATACTACAACATGGAAAAATTGGCTCTTTAATGAGATCAGAAATTTTACTTCTTGATGAGAAATCTAGAACTGTACAGGGTTTTAAAAATGCAAATTGAGCAAGCAAATGCAACTTTAGAAAGGTAATTTAGAATTGAGTGCAATTAAAAAGTAAAATAGAACTCAATGTTAATATACAATAAGGAGATAATGTCTATTGTAGTTCTTAAATCACAGTTGGTATAAGGGTCCCTGAAAAGCAAAGGCTGAGAATTTGAGAGAAGAATTCCTTGAAAGGAGTTTAGGCAGAATTAGATCATTTGGAGGACTGACTAGAAGAGATTGAAGAAGTGAAATAATAATATTTCTTAAAATTGGGTATTACATCATAAGAAATTATGAGCATGATGACTTCAAAAAATATGGGGTAAGTGTAAGAACTGATTAAAAAAAAAAAAGAAAGCAGAACCAGGATTAAAATACATTGGCTAATCTTAGAAGACAATGAAATATACTTTCCTTCTTTCAGTAGAGAGGTGGGGGAATATGAATGTGGAATGTTGCTTCCATTACCTGACAGGATCTCTGTGTTGGTAGGTTTTTCTTAATTGTTTTGTAAAAATACAAAATCAATACAATTTTTTAAAATAAAAATAAATTGAACACCACAAGTAAAGATTAATCAAAGAGATGGGGGGGGTAAGGAAGAGAGTACTTTCCAAAGCACATATTCCTATTTGATCTTGGAGAAGATTGAATAAACAAGGACAATTTTTAAGAGATTATATCCTTAAAAGTAGAATTCCAGGATCTCTGTTGTGAGCAGAGAAAGGAACAGGATTTGATTAAAATTGTACTGTTACAAACTAGATAAGCTTTATCTGTGTTTGGTGTGGGCAGCAGGGAATGAGGTTGGGTTGTTAAAAATATAATAGGAAGCATGATACCTTATGCTGAGAAAAAGGAAAAAAGTAACAATAGTGTCCAATGGAGAGAAATCCAATCTTAGCAATTATAATTTTCAGAATTTTTTGTGGACTTATTTTTGGTCCAGACCTGTGATTTCATCAGTGTGGGGACACCTAATATCCTTCACTGATACAGATTACAAACTATAATTTTAAAGAGTTCCCCTGGGAAACAAGAGATTAAATGTATGGTCACACAGCTAGTATGTGTTGGACACAGGTCTCGAGCACAGGTCTTCTTGACTGATTCTCTAGCCCCACAGCAGCCTGTGTCTCCTTGTTTGTTTGTTTTTTTAAGTTTTATTGATATTTTCTTTTTTTTACATCAGCATTACCTCCCAAGTCCTTCCTCCATAAGTCACATGCCTTATAACAAATAAGTTAAGTCAAGCCGAAAAAAATACATTAGCCAAGTCAGAAAATGTAGAATTCATTCTGTACCTATAGATTACCCACCTCCTTGCTGAGAAGAGAGAAGGCTGTTTCATCATATGATTGGAAGCCTTTTAATAGTGTTTTCATTTATATTATTGTGGTCATTATGTAAATTATTCTTCAAGCTCTGCTTACTTCACTTTATATAAGTTCATACAAGTATTGTAGAGTTTTTCTGAATTCTTAATTCATCATTTCCAAAAGCATAATAATATTCCAATCACTCCACAGTTTGTTCAACTATTTCTCAACTGATTTTCTCCTTGAATGTTAATGAGACGAATTCACTAATTAAAAAGAAACTGAATCAAAGAATGAGTTAGAAAACAAAACCCAACTTTAAAGTATTATCTTTTTAAAAATATACATGGAAATATTTAACAAAATAGAGCACATAGTTTGAAGTAGCTCAAAAGAAATGCGAGATGCACAGATTTAGAGAATCCATCCCGAATGTTCACGTGGACTATTTGTGCCCAACCTGTGGTAGACCATTCTGAATTTGTATTGGTCCGATCAGCCACAGTCAGACCCACTGTAACTTGATTCTAGCATAGTGATGTCATTTTGGTCCTTTTTGAGAACAAAGTACAGCAACCATTTCACAAAATAAATTAAAATATATTAAGAAAAATAAAACCATTTGTTTAAAGATTTTGTAAATTTTCATAATAGCATTGTATGTAATTGCAAAGAAAACTGGAAATAACCTAAATGTTCAGCAATAAGGAAATGATTCAATTAATTGTGTTACATTAAATCAATAAGAAAGCATTTATTATTCATCTACTATATGCCAGGCGCTGTGTTAAATGCTAGGGATGCAAAGAAAGGCAAAAACATTAATATGATGGAATACCATAATGCAATTAAGACCAACTATAAGGAATATAAAGAATTTTGGAAAGACATTTGTGAAGTAATACAAAATGGGGGACAGGGGGAGACTAGAACCAGAAGAATAGTTTATGGTAACTACAGCTATATAAGAGGAAAAGCAAATAAAAATTAATAGATTAATTTTTTTAAATCCTGAGGACTTAGAAATGTCTGAAAAATTATTTTGGTATTTTATATGGAGAAATTAATTTGAGTGTAAATAATTACTAAGTAAATTTGATTGGTCATACAAAAAAATAATCCAACAATTTAATGCTTACAAAAGCACATCTAAAAAGTATAGAGGTCTATGTAGTTTCAGAGTGAAGAAGTGAAATTAAATCTATGATACATCCACTAAATTTAAAAAAAAGAGCAGGAGGTACAGTCATGAATTTAAATAGCTCAACAAACATTTATTTAGCACCTGAAATGTGTCAGGCATTTTGCTAAGGGATGCATGATAAGGTGATAGCAGATGTAGACAACCGAGATGAGCCAGGAAACTCCAAAAGTTTAAAGACATCATTATCAATATTAAAT